AGTCATTTCTGCAGCTAGTAGCAGATGTTTCTCCAGCTCTATTCCGTTTAACAAGGGATGGATTACCACGTCAACGACTAGGACGCTCACAACTCAACATCACGAATCAAGTTCTATTAGCTTTAATGTGGCTACGCAAATATCTGCATGTGGAAAGTCTAGCTCTGTGGTTCGATACAAACCCATCAACTGTTGTGCGAATTATATACAGAGTCATACCAGAGATGTGGAGGTATTTCCAAAATCAAATTCGCTGGTTAAATGTAAATGAATGGGCCAACATCAGGGGAAATTGGCCAGAATTCCCAAACGCAGTGGGCGCTATAGACGCAACCCCGCATGAGATATACCGACCCATAACAGAGGCCCAGAGATCGTTCTATAGTGGGCACCGTCACTACCACTGTTTCAACACCCAACTTATCATTGATAACCTTGGACACTTGAGATATGTTCAAGCCGGGTTTCTTGGTAGTACACACGATGCGACATCTTACAGGCTGATGACCCACATTGGACCAGGACAACCTCTGGACCTACAGGTGCAAAACTTCTAGCGGACAAGGCTTATCCTGATGGTGGACCATTGCTGACGGCCGTAAGAGCAAATCAAATGCATTTGCTGAACCCCAGAGAAAGAAGGCGGGCAAGGCGCTTTAACAAGTGTCTGTCATGACGACGAATCAAGGTGGAGCATGTATTTAAGAAATAAAAGTGTACAAAGCCATATCACAGTTATGGAGACATCCTAGATGGCTTCTTCCAGTATGAGTGGAGCTTACGTCATTTCTTGCTGAACGTCGAGTACGCTTATTTGAACATTTATAACAATCTAAAAAGGTATTTCTGTGTACAGCAAATTTCCATGCTAGCTTAGTCCACTCATTTGCATTTTTTCAGATACAAACGTTGATGTTGAATAAAAAACAAAGTCTTGTAACACTTGTTGAGTTTTTAATGAATTTAGAACGTTGAGTTCGATTACATTCCTGGAAATTATGACAAGTTTACAGAAAGTGCAATAAGACTAGCATTTTAAGGTTAAAACGTCTTCACGCAGATTATTTCGGTATAATTTAGCTGGCAGTACGGTACGTAGATAATTAGCATATTAGCAAACTCATTAGAAATTTTAACCCCGGTTGTTGGAAAACGTTCTATTGTGAGGGGTCTGAATATGCAAATGTGTCACTCGCTCGCTCACTCACTAAGATGTTAGCAGATCGATAATTAAACGTATAACGATCGTCTTGCGTCATCTGATTACGTTGCACGACACTAGGGACCTTAAGCTGCAGGACGGCAACGTGGGCGACAACGTCGGCGAAATTGCGGCGCTTCAACCTTCTATTGTATTATTATTTCATGTTTAACTAGTATTTTACTCAATAAGAATCCCCGTTTTAGAGTGAAATGACGTCTTTTGGCAGCGCTTTACTTATAACGAAAATCAGCAAATATAAGCTTTTGGCGTAGCCGTTCTCTTTAGTACGTAAAAATAGGACATTTCACGTCTTACTTTCAGCATAAGACGGTAATGATGCACAGTGTTTCGTACATTCCAACGAGTATCTATTGAATAGCGCAATTAGTGCTATTGTATGTTTGCCGTCGTCGTCGTCGTTGCCGTCCTGCAGCTTAAGGTCCCTACTAACAAGCACAAAGCTCTTATTTAGTATAGACTACTTTCGCTATTTATATGAGGAAATGAACTGTTGATGTTTCATGTGGGATACTTTCTAGCACTGTGGACCCACTCTTGCACATGTGCAGATTATTTACATCAAAAGAATCAAGGAGAGATGCAACTTGAAGTGAAATAATACGATTAACGCCTAAAACTAAAATTCCAATGAGTCAAACCTTTTTTTGCTGATGCGATAAAGTAAACAGAAACGCTTATGTACAATCGTCAACATATTTAGATCCTCTCAGAAGATTCGTAGGTAGAGGTAGAGCCGGATGCATCGGAAAAAGAACTTTCATTATATTTCAAAACGAGAGTCATGGAGTCTTGAAGAAAGTTCGGCTAGTTTTGTCATCCAAATAAGCCGTTCTGAATTAAAAGTAGAACAGCCGAAGCAATGTTCTTGTATCTAACTGCTAAGGTACAAATCTACTCAATAGATGTCGCTCGACTCGAGACTAACGAGAATTCGCTCCAATAAATAATTAGTACTTTACAGACTTGAATGAAGTCAAAAGAAATAGTATTCCTAAACGAATTTCTATAAAATATTCGCTTAGTTCACAGTGTAATTAAAGTGTTTCATGTGAATCTAAATCGATTGTAAGCGCTGTGATGACCCTTGAAGGTCAAGATAATTAGTAACGCATAACGCAACGTTTTTACAATTCATCACAGAATTCGCTTCCAAACTCAACAAAATAACAAAGAACTAAACAGAGTAGGTGTTAAAAGGAAAATAAAAGGACGACTTATCATCTTACCAGCTAAATTGAGCATTTTAAATATGAAATCGAGTGAAATACTTTGAAACATTCGAATGTCAACAAGCATAAGGACACAGGGAGCCCAATCTCTGAAAAGTTCAACTAGTATCCACGAGTTCGCCAAAGGGCGGTTTGATTTATGTGTAAAATTACAACAGAATCTCTACTTACTAGGGTCATTGAACACTGACAAGATGTAATTCTCTGCCGTCTTTCCTGCTGTTCTTACAATGGCTTTAGCAATTTCTTTCACGGCATAAATATCATTCCTCATACTTCCAGTGTCATCAATAGCGAACGCCAGTGTCTTGGAGTCTTCTACTCCTAATAGTTTGCTAAATTTGTCTGGGCCAATTTCCTTTTTTAGTCTAGCTAAGTAGCGTGCTCCATCTGATCCCGACCGTTTTGATATTCCTGGTCGACTCGAAGATATCGATTTGCAAAGCGCTTGTCCTAGGGCTTCTCGGGCGAACAAATAACTCCTTTGCTTCAGAGCAACCTTTATATTCTTCGTCAGATTACTTAGATGTGCTGTGTTGCCACTTGCTTGAGCTTCGAGAACGTGCTTTTCCACTTTACTTAGAATTTCTAAAAAGCTGTTTGAAGGTTTCGTCTGACGCGGCTTCTTGACTGGCAAACTAGAGTTAGACGCCAAACCGTGAAAAGCTTGCAATTTTAGTGCCTGAATTTTAAGTAAAATAATTAAACTTAATAGAATTGATTTAAAAGTTCAGTGGAGTGGAGTGGAGTGCAGTGCAGTGGAGTGGAGTGGAGTGCAGTGGAGTGGAGTGGAGTGCAAATGGGTGAGATTAC